GCCCTTTGGCGCACGCTGCGCGCCCGGCAGTCTCCCAGACCTGCAAGCCCCGACCCTCCAGCCTCCATGTCTTAGAGAAGCCAAACTGGAGAGTTATGTAATTTCTAGCGCTGCCGTTCCTCCCGCCTGAGGAAACACCTCATCGCGTGGAGGGTGCAGGACGTTTCTGCGCGCTTCGGTGCCGGAGCGGGGTGTGGGCAGGGGCGGCCGGCGCTGGCCGAGAGCTCCGGTCTGTTCTGCAAAAGGAAGGCGGGTAGGTCGGAGAGAGGCTGAGAGACGGGGGGGACGTGGGAGCCCGGCGGCCGAACTCTCTCGCTTAGGAAATCGCCGCCCCTTGGCACAGCTGGCGCTCACATGCCAAACACTACCCCGGCGGCTCCGAAAACACCTCTGCGGGGAGGTCTCACTTCTCCGGAGCAGCCTGGGTGTTTCTCCTCGCTCGCAAGGCAGCCTCTCGGATGCGAAGAAATGGCACGACGTGAATGACTCCGGGGGGAAGAAATCGCCTTCGCCAACTCATCCTGCATCAAGTGCCCACTGAGTAGCACTGTCACTTTAATGTCTCGGTGCCAGGGCATTGCCCTCCTCCCGTTCAGCCCTCTCGGTTAATACATGGGAGCATCAGGATCAGAGGGGGCGCTCAGGATCAAGCCTGAGGGGCTTGGGGAGCACGGCAGAAAAAAAATGAAAGTGCCAGCAGCCTGGAGCCTGCCTTCCTGAGGGGTGAGAGCTGGAACTTCTGGTCCAGTAAACAGAAAGGGGCCTTTCAGTCTGTGTTCTGCTCCGGAAAACTGTTGAAACTCACCCACCTTTTTAGAGACTAGAGTCAAAGAGGTTTTCAAAAGTGCTGTTTTGGGAGGGGGGGAGGAAGAGGAGGGGGAGTGTTTAATTTTTTTCTCTAAAGAATTGAGCTTTATCATCAACCAGGTCATCTTTGGATTTGATCATGTACTGAGAGTAATGGAACAGCTCTGGGAATTTGGTGTGTGCCTTAATCGAGTTAGCCATTGAACTCCAAAAAAAATGTTGCTGCCTGAAGAGGAGTTTTAATAACGTTTTCTATGCTTACAATGATTTTCTCAGCTTTTTAAAAAAATAATATTTTCTAAAAATCGAAAAACTCGAAAGTTATGTTTCTCTAAACTCTGTGGGCAGGGTCAAAAGTTTAATAGTGGAAAAAATACGTTATTTTTTTCTTTATCTGAAAGAGAAGACAGCCTGGGTTTCAAAACCAAATAGGTGAAGTGGTTTGCAACAGTTACCTGGCTCTTGGCTTCAATCCAGTTGCATCAAGTTGAGAGCTGAAAAGAGATCTTGAATCCTGTGGCAGTGGAAAGACCAAGAATGCCAGTCAAGAAGAAAGGTGGGCTATGAAGCTTCCTATATAATATATGTTTCTTGATTCTGGTAGTTGTAATTTAAAATGTATTCCGTTTGAGAGTAAAATTTTGCTTGGGCTTGGGGAAATATTTATTACAATAATGTCTTTTCTCTGGCACATCATTCAGTAATATTACTTTGCTAAAGTGAAATGAAGTAGGACTGTAGTATTTAATTGCAGACACTGATGATTTCATAAATGAGGTGATATAAATCACCATTTACAATCAGCATGGATTTGGTATAGATTTGGGATTTTCTTTAGCTTGTTAAAAGTCACTTTTAAACAATCTTTAAAAAAGAAATGCGTGCAGTCTAATTTTTCCTCATGGGTGTAATATTTATCAAGTGAATTAGATATTGTAAAAGATAGCAAAATTGTTTGCACTGAACAAAATTATAGATTTATTATTTATCTTTTGATTAAAAAATAGATTTCATGTTTGGGTTTACTCTAGTGTAAATCTTCACTTTTATGATAAAGCACAACTTTGGTAACCGTTGTGCTTTCCAGATGTATGCCTTATCCAATAACATGATTGGCAAGTTCCCCAAAAGAAGCAAACACCTGAGTCCCCACCTCTTACCCCTTCCTGGAATTGATCGAGATCAGTGGATTCCTGAAGTATAGTTTATTATGGCTCAGACTTGGGGATTCACTTTAGCATAGCTCTACTCCATCTTTGTTGCTAAGGATCGTAGTGACACCAGTTTTTGTTTGTTTGTTTGGTTTTTGTGTTTTTCCGCATGGTATGGAAGGTCACATCAACTATAGAGTTTTCTCAACGGTTTTGAACCAAAATTTATATGAACATGCTTGAACTATAATTATACTGGGCTAGCATAGATCCAAAAGTTGACCAGCTATGTGAGTTGCTCAGTCTGAAACTAAAGTTCAGTGTGAAGGTTAAAGCGTAACCTGGCTGTGCACTATGATGAATCCTTCTACCTGTGGATTTGGAAAGTGCATTGAGGAAACGTGATCAGTGTGATGCTTTCTCCAACCAGCTGTGGAGATGGACAGTGGTATATAAAACCTTTGAAACACTGAGAAATATCCCTTTTGAACACTGGGCTTTCAGACTGGAATTGTTGCCTTCTCCCACTCTGCCCCATAATGTCACTGAGAGAGGTAAACGGTCTATGAGGTTTTGGAGCCGCACCTGTCCAGACCTGACACAATTGGCTTACCTGGAACAAAAATGGTTTTGGTAATGTAGCCAATAAATGTTATTATAGCTTTTTGACATATTTAACTTACAGTTATTCTTTCTACCATTTATTGTTCTCAAGACATTGCCCCTTATGGATTACCTTATTTTAGACTAATACTTGAATTAAACACATTGTGTGTGTGAGAGATGGAGGGAGGTGAATGGGAGAGAAAAGAGAAGAGAGAGAGAGGGAGAGAGAGAGGGAGAGAGAGAGAGGAAGGGATAAAAGTATCTGGGAAGGAAGAGGAAAGGCAATTGATGTTTTAGGTGTAACTTAACTAAGCAGGATGACCTTAAGGTTTCTAAACCCAGTGGACTGGGCCTCTTAAAAGTTCCGACCTTTAAAGGAAGTTACAGATATTGCTGATAAGCTATTGAAAATCATACTTTCTGAGAAATAATTTAACGTTTATTTCCCTTTTCCCCTCTTTCCCTCTTTTCTTTCCTCCCTCTCTCCCTCCTTCTCTTTCCTCTCCTCCCCCCCCCTTCTTTTTTAACAATGGATTGATCGTAATGGATCAAATTTTAAGGAATCAACAAGTTTTAATGAGCAAAAACTATATATTTGGGTTATACTAAAGTCTATGCATTACTTAATTTACTTTCTGAAGTGACCTAGTTAGAAAAACAATTTGTCTTCTTTTTAATCTCTTAAAACTATTAGTATTAAGTTATATTTTTGAATCTTATAGACAACGAGCCAAACAAATGATGACACGTGCATTTTATTTTTAATTGGCTAAGCTTACTTTTGTACAATTTCTAAAATACGAGTAAGACAAATATTTTAAAGTATAAGCTAGATTCATTTTGTAGGGAGTACTGTCCTCTGTCACCTTGAATCTTTTTTCTTTCTTCATTGTTACATCTATTAGATATGATGGGAGAGCTAGGTTAATGTAATTTTAACAATAACTATTTTCATTGAGTCAAGCGTTTATTCATTATTGAATATATTCTTAAAATAAGACATTTTCATAGGACAGGTTTTCATTTGGTGTTTATTTTGTATGTTATTGTGAAAGTAGGGGGAGATCCTCTGATTGCTGACATACAAACGGTGGGCAGTGGGAGTGGGTGTGACATCTCAGTCCATTTTTAGGCACTGTTCTTGACTGCTCTGAGATCGGCTCAGACTGCTGTACCTCAAACCCCTGTGGTCACTGCTTTCTTGCTTTATGACATTACTTCCTACCTCTACCACCCCACTCTCTGCACATTTTTTGTAGATCTCAGTTTTATCAACTTTTCCATTTCTTCATTAGAGATTTTTTTTCTCCAAGACTAGCTTTTCACTTAGGATTCTCTTTTCTACAGTAATAACTTGATTTTCTCCCAACTGAACCTTGAGGACACTTTGACCTATTTTAATCTGTGAAAATTCAGGGCCAATCCAAGATCAGTAGTCTTAGCATTCTCTGATGTGATACAAGATCATGGTAAAGTGCTGTTTCAACAAGACTTGTTGAATTGCTTTGATCTATGTTGAAGGTGGATTAATGTAAGAAATAAAAGTTAATGATAATTGTATCCTTATCTGTGTTTTCAGTGGAAAGTTGCTGTTTTAATGATAAAATATGCTTCACCAGAATTTTTTAGTCCGTTGCAATTTCTTTTTTTTGAACAGTTTTTTACTCTCTTTTTACTAAATACGTGAGAGAAAACAATGCTTTTAATACTTTGAGGTTGATGCTCATTTCCTTTCTGTGTTTTAAAAATACTGTCCTATTGTCTTCTGAGCTCTTAAATTGGTAAAGAAGTCTACCTGACATTTTTCATTTCTCTGACCCTTTATTTCCTTTGAATTCTTTTTTTGCAACTGTTCTCAGTGATATAATGGAGCTCTCATAAACTTATTTTTACCACATACTTAAAGTTAAATACTACCATTTTCATAATTCATATATCTTGACATTGTTCTTTTTAAAGAAGGCCGAAGAATGTGTAATTAGAACTCAAAGAGATGATATTGCCATATATCTCACGGGCATCTTTGAAAGTGAGATTGTTTCCTGGGTTCACAGTCTTTCCTTTTGGTTGACTGTATACTTCAGAGAAGTGTCACTTCTATTTTTATTTTTATTTTTCTTCTTTTTCCTGGGGAAGGGAGCCCTAGAACTCTTCTGTTTATTCCTTCCTCATGCAAAGTTTTCTTTATTCATTACCTGTTTCCTGCACTTTGTGCCTTACTTTCTTTTTTGGTAGTATCTTACTAATTTATATATGCCTTTCATTATCTGAGTGTACTATCTTTCTATCTCTAGCTTTTCTTAACCTCTTAAAATAAATTTTTTTTCCAGATCCTCTGAAGGGGAAATTATATACCTGAGTTTATTGACTGTACCTTTTGCAAATGTGTGTTTAAACTTTCATGTTTGTTATACCAGTTTTATATCCAGATGCTGCTTTTATTTCAAACCCCCCC